ATTTGTATGTGTATCAGTGACAGTGATATCGTTTATTTTCACCATTCAAATATTTAATCAGATGTCTGTGTTTCTTGCAATTCCACTTTAACATTTCATGACATTACTATCGCTAAGGTCCGTATATATCACAGCTTTTTAGATAGTGACGTCATAAAATGCCTAGTTTAATGGAGTTGGAAGAACCACAGACGTCCAAATGAATATCGGAATCATGTCAATCAATGCTATGAGTGTACCAGATTGACCCTGATATACATAACAATTTGAAAATCCTTCTTACAATCACTTTAGATACATAAAAGTTTTCTTGATGTTGGTTTGATGTTGGTTTGATGTTTGATGTTGGTTTGATGTTTGATGTTGGTTTGATGTTGTGTAAATCAAAACTTGTTGTTATGGTTTAAAAATAAGCAACAGACGGAGGCTAGGAGAGAAATTGTAACATTTGGTATTGATATTATGTCATTTGATTGTTGTTAGATTAATAATAAGTATAATGCATTATATAATTATAATTTTTCAGTTGACTTCTTGATACGTAGGTAGGTAGGTTTTATGTTCAGGTATTTTCTAGTCTATAGACAATATTTCGTTCGAATTTAATCACTCAAAGAGCAATTCAGATTAAACTTTAAAATGAAATGAAATGAATGGAGTATTACACGCTACTTTCATATGAACCTAAAGTTAAAATTCTAAATTAGGAACCAATAAGTGTAACATGAAATGTGTATAACAAAAATCATTAATTGAGAATATTTTTGGATGTATAGTATATATAGACATTCTTTACGTGTAAATTTTCAGAAATAATTTTTAAACAATAGTAGACCTGTCCAACCTCTTAACCTTCTTAAAACTATAATGTAGAGTTTTTCACCAAATTTTATTAAACTATTAGTATGATAGTTTTTCATCTTATTTTTAAAAGAGTTGAATTCGAGGTATATGACCAGAAATGAAGATAAAGTGAGACAGGGCATAGAGGGCATATTCTAACTTAAAATATCTTTTAGATTCTAACAGTTGGTTTGTATCTGGTATTTCGTAGTTAGATTCTACATAAAGGACCAAAAAGTGAGAGACTTACCAGTATTTTGTACACCTAAAATTGTAAAATTTGAGAATTTTCAGTAAGTTCTGATTTAAACTCTGTCGATAATAACTATCAGAGACCAGATATAGAGTCAGTTTATTAGCTGCTACCTGTGTATTGCCAATATGCTGTTTTGGATGTGTTTCTTTTACTGTTCAGATTGTTAATTCTTGGTTTATTTATTCAGGCCAACTCATGTCAATAAAGTGGTCATTTTTGAACATTTAAAAATTTTCAGATGAGAAAAGGTTCAGTAAGTTGGGGATTATCCTTAGTCAATAATAACCATCAAACGAACTAATACATGTTTTAGATTTATTCAGTATAGACTAATATATATATAGAGATACTAGACAATATAGAATAATTCTACTGATAATATTTATTTTCATTCCATATTTAATGCAGAAATTATCGATTTCCTCAAGTTCATTGTTTGTTGGTTACTGATGGATTAGATTGAAAAAATGGTTTCTATGAAAGATTTTTTTTTTGTAAATGTCAGAATTGATTTGAAGTTTAAGATAATACGTTCAGCTTGATGAGTGTTATATAAGCTTAATCTGGGTTTCATTCTTATTAAAGAGGTTTTCTAAATTTATCAAGTGCATCTGGGACACTGATAGCATCAATTTGCTCCATTCCAATTTTCGATCAGAAGTCTATGATTCCTGCAAAACTAAATGTTTGATGACATCACTAATTGTGATGGGTCTAATGTTATATTTAAAGCATCATAAAACACTTAGTTTTAGTGGAATTTCATGATTGAAAATTAAAATGGTGCAAATTGATGACATCAGTGTCCACGATACATATAAAGAATTTAGAAAACCTTTTTACAATCCCTTTAATAAGAATTCATATTGGTCTTAACATGTCTATTGTATTCGCAAATTAAAAAGTATTTTGAAAAGATAAAAAAAAAATGTTTACTTTGCGAATACAATAGCTTTTATTTTGTCCCCTATTTTTAAAAAAAATTCTTTTTTGAAATTTACATAGAAATACTGATATAACAGCAAGAGTTCAACTTTTTATAAAGTCTCTCTACTGATGTAATTGGAAAACAAAAAACTAACCTAAAAAGAACAAAAACTCATAAATTGTTGAACACTGGGAAAAGGATTTAGTCAAATTTCTTGTATGAAACTGGCACACAATCCCATATTTTCAGTTACTCATACCTTTAACAGCTGGGTTGACTGGAATAATGAGGAAAGATGACTTATTCAGTACCCATTTACAGCTGGGTAGACTGAAATAATGAGGAAAGATGACTTATTCAGTACCCATTTACAGCTGGGTTGACTGAAATAATGAGGAAAGATGACTTATTCAGTACCCATTTACCGCTGGGTTGACTGGAATTATAAGGAAAGATGACTTATTCAGTACCTATTTACAGCTGGGTTGACTGGAATAATGATTAAAGATGACTTATTCAGTACCTATTTACAGCTGGGTTGACTGGAATAATGAGGAAAGATGACTTATTCAGTACCCATTTACAGCTGGGTAGACTGAAATAATGAGGAAAGATGACTTATTCAGTACCCATTTACAGCTGGGTTGACTGGAATAATGATTAAAGATGACTTATTCAGTACCCATTAACAGCTGGGTTGACTGGAATAATGAGGAAAGATGACTTATTCAGTACCCATTTACAGCTGGGTAGACTGAAATAATGATTAAAGATGACTTATTCAGTACCTATTTACAGCTGGGTTGACTGGAATAATGATTAAAGATGACTTATTCAGTACCCATTTACAGCTGGGTTGACTGGAATAATGATTAAAGATGACTTATTCAGTACCCATTAACAGCTGGGTTGACTGGAATAATGAGGAAAGATGACTTATTCAGTACCCATTTACAGCTGGGTTGACTGGAATAATGATTAAAGATGACTTATTCAGTACCTATTTACAGCTGGGTTGACTGGAATAATGAGGAAAGATGACTTATTCAGTACCCATTTACAGCTGTGTTGACTGGAATAATAAGGAAAGATGACTTATTCAGTACCCATTTACAGCTGGGTTGACTGGAATAATAAGGAAAGATGACTTATTCAGTACCCATTTACAGCTGGGTTGACTGGAATAATAAGGAAAGATGACTTATTCAGTACCTATTTACAGCTGTGTTGACTGGAATAATGAGGAAAGATGACTTCATTTGCCGACCAAAATTAGAACCTATACCAATGTTTTCTTTCATAAACAGCAAATGACACCATGTAAAAATTCCAACACTCAAACCAACTGCACTACAACCAGTAAATTAAAGTGTTTATATTTATTTTGAAATTGTCGTTTTTCTTCATCTCATCTATACTAAAGGTATCTGTAAGCTGTCTGAAATAGAGCGTATAACAAGTTTACAAGTCATGTAAAATTGATCACAGTCTCTGGAGAATTTGTTTTAATTCTCTTCAATGTGATGTTTCATGCTCTTTTATCTAGTAGAATTAAGTTGGTATTAAGGCTGTTATTAAGGGAATGTGAAGGCTTAAAGCTGGGAGTGTAAATTAGCTGTACCAGTTTTGAATAAACACTGATTTGATTTTACTGCTGAAATCAAAAGGCAAATATTCATTGAAGTTTATAGCATTGACAATATATAGATAAAAAGATATTGTTGTAAAATTATTTTGACACAGTTTTTTAAGTTGAATATTTTATATATACAAATATAAGCAAATTATTTTAAAGGCCAGTTTGTTTTGAGCCGTATTTGAAGACGCAAAAGGAAATAAGGGATTAACAAAATAATTACATTTTTTACCTTCAGGGTTGTTTGCTAATTTACAAGTATGTGTTACTATTAACTATAGCAGTTTGAAACTTTATATTAGGAAGACAAGAAATTGACTGTATTATACACAGTGAAATAAAGTTGGCCAGTGACGGTGGAGAGCTAGATGAATTCGTTGATACCTAGCGAAGTCAGTTTTGAGCTCAAGGATCCAATTAGTTCTGTTTTACGTCTTTCTTTGGTGGTTGTATTATACACCCTATGACATCAATCATATGAATATTAATTAAATCTTATAAACATTTATTCCATAATTAACCATGTACAAACTTCATCTTGATTAATCAATACATCCATATCACTTGATCAAATATACCAAGCCTATATTTCACATAGGTTATAAGACTAATGTCAAATATATTTTTGGATCATTTCATATTTTTTTTAGAGATCACGTCTGCATTTTCAAATTCTGAGTCTGGAGTATTCAAGACTATTTAAATAATAATTCAAATTATGTAGTGTAGGTTATCAAGACATTGAATTTTTTTAGTCAAAATGAATTTTCTTTTGGCTTTATATCAAACTTACGTTTTTTCAATTTTTCATTCACTTTAAAATGAAATAAAATGAATGGACTTTAACGGCCTACTTTTCTACACCATGTGGGCTAATGAAGACGAGCAACGCCATGCAGGGTGCAATGAGGGAAATTTTGCCAGGAAAGCAGCATTATCCTGCTCTTTTTTGATTTCGGTGTCGTCAGTAGGCTATCAGTTTCCTCAACACACTTAAAAAGTTTAGAAAATGTCTTCTTCACAATTCCTTTAAGATACTGGCTGATTGGTTGATTAGATTATAGATGAAGACGGTAGTATTTAAAATAGCGTGAGATCATATCAGAACGTTTTCTTAATGACTTATTGAATAATTAATCAGACGTCTAATTATATATCTTCTATCTTCAGGTTAGACATGGTAGAATAGAGACTCGATCACAATGAAGGGATGGAAGATAGTAATAGGGCTCTTGGGTTTCTGGCTGGTCATTATGATGTATATGAGCACATCGGTTCTGCAAGGTGGTGAGACTAATATCCAAACTGAACTCAAACTGAAAAGAGCGATAGAAGAAATGGACAAGTTGAAATCACAGAATGACGAGTTGCAGAAATTAGCTGTTGATTTGAAGTGAGTTAATGATTTAGTTGTTATTTATTGTTTCTGCTAGTCCACAAATGCTACTCATGGTTTTGGTATATTTTCTCACCTCACACCATTACAATCAATTGATTTCTAAGTTAGATTTCAGGGAATACTTATTTTAAGACTGGTGCCATGACTATATACAGTATATTATATTTCAGAGTGCGTGTATGTTTGTGTGTTCGTCTTTTCAACTAAAATCATACTAATGACTAACTAATTATAATAAGCTTATCTATTGCTCTTTGACCTAGGCCAGTGCTTTCATTGAGACTCGTCTCAGTACACCTTTACACCAATGTCTCAGGTCTTAATTGCAAGTCCAAATTTTTATTGCGATTTTGAGCAAATTAAAAAGGTTGAATTTATTCTAAGTACCATTGAAAGAATTTACTGACAGTGATTTGATGGTTTCAATAATCTGATTAGTCAACCACTAAAATCCTTTTCAAATTTACGACTTTACGTTCAGATTTCTGTATTTCTTAAAAGCATGCTTTTATCTTAATGAAATTTTTTAGAATAAAGTCTACAACTTGTTTTTCACCTCAACACCCCTCTCAGATAGTCCACCCACATGATGGATTAGGTTTAATATGATGAGTGAATATTTCTATTTATAGAGAAATACAAGGAAGTAAAGGAGGAGAGGGAGACGAACCCTCGTTAAAAAGATTACAGTCTAAATTAGAATTAGCTAAACTACAATTAAAACATCTTAAAGCCTCCAATCCTTCATCAGGAAAACAATTACTCTCAGGTATGTTATACTACTGACCAATAACTTGAATTATCTTGTCCCAGAGACCCTTACCCTATTTACAGTTGTCTTCTAGACAATTAGGTGCCGTGGGTTCGAAACAAACTAGTTACATAGCCCCTAAAACAGCAATTTGGAGCATGACATTCATGCATATTTGTGCTTTGGAAAAATCTCCAGTTTTTACCCCAATCTCCAGTTTTGTACCCCAATCTCCAGTTTTGTACCCCAATCTCCAGTTTTGTACCCCAATCTCCAGTTTTTCAAGGCCTGTCTCCATATTAAGATTATCTTTAAGATATAATGGCTAAGTCACTCCCTATTATGTTTTGCACATTTTCTTGTAGGTGATCTGTCTGGTGGACCAAGTCTAAACCATGAAAGAAGTCGACGAAAAGTTGAAAATACAAATCGCGAATTTTGGTATTTTATCAAATCAGAACTGAATAAATTAAAACAATTAGCAGAAGGTAGAAATCAAATATTGACCAATCAGATTGAAGATGTTTTGGAAACATCTAAGGAATATCAGAAGTAAGTACTACGTCTGCAACATGGATATCAAGGTATTACAAACTCTGTCTGAAACCTTGACATCATTAGACACTTTTCTTGTTTCATGGAAATTTGTAAATGCAACAATATGATTGGATGGTACGTTAACCAATACAGCAAGCCATATTGTTTATAGTCTTTCTGTCCAAGACTCTGATTGGCTATTTTCACTGCAATCCCTTATTGACCCAATCTGACTGACTGCAAATCTGGATACGTTTCGTTCAGTGTTTTTTTTGCAGGGTGACTCCAATTACCATCAATGATCAGAAACAATTGAAAATTCATTAGTGTCCTTATTAACTAATACTCTTAACCCACTGATGTATTTTCTACATCAAAACCAGTTTGAAAAGAAGGTGTATGTTGACTCTCTAGAAGTCGAATGTAAATATATTCACAGTAAAACAATCTTTGTGTCAACACTGACATGTATTGTATTTGACATTGTTTTTATTCTAGAACTATATATAAAGATTTTGAGACGTTACGTAATATTGACGGTAATGATGAATGGAGACTAAAAGAACTACAAGACTTAGGTGATTTAGTGTTTAAACGTTTGGATTATTTACAGGTAATATTTAAGATTGATTTAGGTTCAGCTAGGTTTATTGTGGATTTAGAGTAAAGCTGCAAGTAGAGTGATGAATTCTAAGTTGAGATTGTAGATGGGATAGCATGGTACAGAAAATATTCAACGTCTGTATTCGTCTTAAAGATATGAATGTTAATGTATATCTAAGAGTAAACGCGTTACTTGCAATTTTTAGATTAGATAAAATATTTCTGCAATTTGCTTTTTAAAAAATGTAATGGTCAATTTTGTCATAAGTATTTTATATTTGCTAGATATACAAATTAATAACCTTCAGACTGTTAGAGCCAGGTCCTTTAGCAAAATAAAAGTTTTTATTTGCATTTAAGAAATTTTATTAGCAAATTAGTCTTTAAGTTGAAATATTTTATCAAAATTATATTAATAATATTTAATCTGATCACAAGTATGATGTAAACTGCTATTTAAGTAAAAATTACCTTTTTAGAATCCCAAAGACTGTTCAACAGCTAAAAAGATAGTTTGTAATCTACATAAAGGGTGTGGTTATGGCTGTCAATTACATCATGTGACCTACTGTTTGATTGTGGCGTATGCTACACAGAGAACATTAATATTAGAATCTAAGGGCTGGCGATATGCGTCCCAGGGCTGGGAAACAGTGTATTTACCACTCAGTAACACTTGTACAGACAGATCTGGATCTTCTATTAAACATTGGGGAGGTAAGTCAATAGGTTTTGTTATGGGAGGTCTTCTCGAGCTCAATTTTGAAGAAGGGCCTAAGCAGACAATTAGAATGTTGGGTTCTAATCTCATGAAGTGATAGAGCCTCGTAGCCTTGACTAAAGTCATCATCATTATTATTCCAGTTGACCCAGCTGTTAATCGGAATATAGCATAGCTAACATCTAAGACCAAATCCTGTTACTTTTAATGTTACTACTTGAATAATCTACACAGTGTGTTACTATATACCTCAGACTGATCTGGCTTTGCTCCCACACTTTCAAATTTCTTCTCTTTATAAATAAGAACAAAATTGAGAATTCTCTGGCCACTCCTCGGCCTCCTCACTTTATGATTGATAGAAACGCCACTGTATCTGCACCAGTATCTGGAATGTTATTTTGTCATTTCAGCACCGTCAGTCATTGAAAACATCCAAGTTGTTGAATTACCAATAGTAGACAGTATGAATCCACGTCCATTGTTTATGCCATTGTCCGTACCAGCTGATTTAGCTGAAAGATTATCTCGTGTCCATGGCGATCCGTCAGTCTGGTGGATTGGACAGATGGTACGATATTTAACGAGGCCACAACCAGAATTAGCAGATGATTTGAAAAGAACTAAACATAGACTTGAATTCAAAAGTCCCATTGTTGGGTAAGCTATATGCTTTGATGGTTAGAGCGTCAGAATGATGTCATTTGCTTGCTTACGACAAACGAATTCTAATGTTCGGTGTGTCACATATATTGCATATGAAAGTCTAAATGAAAAATAATGTATCTTATTATAGGGTCACCCTAGTGCAGAGTGCATGTAAGACGTACAATCTAAATTCAAAACTATTATTTATAATTATAGAGTACATGTAAGACGTACAGATAAAGTAGGAGTAGAAGCAGCATTTCATTCTATTGATGAATATATGATACATGTACAGGAATATTTTGATAAACGTGAAATGATAGAACCTATCTCACAACGTAGAGTATATCTAGCTACAGATGAACCTTCATTATTAACAGAGGCCAGAGAAAAGTAAGTCAATTTTATAGATATTGGGATATTGAGTGCAGAAAGAGCAGAGAATGGGGGATATCTATGTGAAATGATGGAACCTATCTCACCTGATATAGTAGGTGCAAGATCAAGGCTTTGCTTCAAAATTAAAGAGTGTATCTAGCTACAGATGAGCCAAAGAAAAGTGAGTATTGAATATTAAGATAGATCCAGTGTTGCTCAGTGATAACCTGAAGGATCCAGGATTAAATCCGGGCAGGATTCCTTGTCAGTGATGCTGACATTGAAAAAAGCGTCTGGTCGTTCTAATGGGAAAATAAATCGAGGCTCTGTGTGCTCTAGGCTGTGACCATTAAAGATCTCTTAACAGTTGTAAAGCAAAAAAGCTAGGCTATCCTGGCAAAATTTCTCTCATTGCACCTACACGCCTTTGTCTGGCCTCGTTAGCTTAAATCGGTGTGTAGAAATTTCATCATATTCTTTATTAGTATTAGGTGATACAAGCTGACACCAAGCCAACTCTCTGAGGCACATGTTCAGGCATCAGAATATTTCTGATTGATGTGTGACTTACCAGTGAATATTTTTGTATATTTTTAGATATCCTACCTATATATTTATAAGTGATAATGAAATTAGTAAAAGTGCAGCGTTAGGTACGAGATATACTGATGCGTCGTTACGTGGCGTTATAGTTGATATTCATTTCCTGTCACTAAGTGATTATCTTGTTTGTACATTTTCTTCTCAGGTAAGTTTATCTTTAATAATATCGTTGTGAATGTGGTGCATGCCCATTCTTACACTCTTGTACACCTTTTCAAGGGATTTGTGTCAGTCTCATTTTGAATTTAACAGCAACATGACCACAAAGTTGACTTTTAGAAACTTTAGAAGCCTTCAAATTAGCAAATGTTATCTAGTTTCCATACCTAAGTAGGTCTCCCAAAGTCTAACAACATCACAGTATTTTAACTGTCCAAGAGAGGGGGGTGTGGTGTGGGGGCGGGGGGTTGCCGGTAGATTGACATTTGAAGTCAGGGTCAAAGCGAGCCAGACTCAGTTCTTTATTTCCTTCCCATACGTACACCTGCAGAAAGGTGACTGGGTTATGATAATTATATCTACTTAATATACAGACAGTTATTTATTTATTGTGAATGATGTTACTTATAGGTATGTAGAGTGGCGTACGAGGTGATGCAGACACTACGAAGTGATGCTGCTAATAATTTCTACAGTTTAGATGACGTGTATTATTTTGGAGGACAAAATGCACACAATATGGTGGCATTAGAAAATTATAAAGCTAAACACAGTAAAGAAATAGACTTAGAAGTGGGTGATTTAGTTGGAATTGCAGGAAATCATTGGGATGGGTATAGTAAAGGTGCCAATAGACGTAGTGGCCGCTCTGGTTTATACCCTTCATATAAAGTAGAAAATAAAGTAATGGTTGCTGAAATGCCAACATATCCAGAAGCCGATAAAGCCAGCTGATAGGATGTCCTTTTAATTTTAATTTCATTTAAGCGGCCCTCACACCATAGTGATTACCAGTTGTGTACAGTTGCTAGCAAATTAGAATAGCAGTCAAAGTGTCAAACGAAATTCTCATACAACTGAGTTGTTAGTTTCGTTTTGAGACCAAAGCCAGTACGGTTGCAAATAATAAGAATAGCGGTCATAAGTGTTAAAGGGGGACAGTTTGCATTTTCGGGGATTGATTTGGTCTTTATTGTGATTTAATAGTCTTAAGAAGTACTAAAATGCACAAAAATCGTATAATCCCTTCAAATATTCCTCAAACTAGGAATTTCACTGTCTATTACTGTGTATCGTGTTCAGAACTCATGACCACTTTCATTATTTACAACCATACACAACTAGTAATCACTATAGTGTGAGGGCAACTTAAGGTTATAATTATTTTTGTTAAGTTTTAGTCAATTGATTTTTTGAAACGGGCTTCCATAATCCCGATTGTTATTTTTTTTGTATATCACAGTTTGTTTTGTACTTAGTTTGAGAGGAAATCATGCGTCCTGTACTTAGGTTGTTATTTTGTTGTCTTTGAATGATATCTTTCAAATTTTATGTTTTATTGTACGAAATGACTGCGGAAAATTTGATGTAAAAAAGCAAAAAATGACGTGCTATATGAAAATTTTGTATTGTCTTGAGGAATCAAATTATACCTATTAATATTTGGATTTTTAAACAACCACTTATATTATCAAATGGAAATACAGTAAATATATGAGATATTTTTTATCAATGTTAATATGATAATAATGGAAGAAGTACTTTCCTTGGGACACACTCGATCTGGTGTGTACGGTCTGACAGGTTTCCTTCAGGTTGAACTTTTCAGGGGCAACAAAGTCAATTCATGATCTCTATTTATGCTACAATTATACAGAGGTTCTAAAATCAATGAGGCTGGTCATGAAGACACCCCTAGACTACATAACCTAGTATGCTGTCTCTGGTTAACCTTACTTTTATGATAATAATCGTTGTTTTGAGAGTCCATCACCCATAAGTGCTCCCACGGATCATAAATTGCAGAAAAGTAGGATGTAAAACTCCATTCATTTCATTTCACAGATCATAAATGTTAACACAGTTATCTCTCTTGAAAGATGATTGGTGTATAACGTGAAATGAAATGAGCTTTAAGAATTAGAACATTGATTAGAATAGAAACACATGCTGGACATGTATGTAGAATTACCAGTAGTTATTTTGACAGGAGAATTTCTTTATAAGATTGTTAATTCTTAATTTTAGGCTTTGTAATTTTGCGTTATCTGTTTTTGATAAATGAAAATATTGAGTGCCATGGAATGAATTGAACAATCTTGCATTAAATCATGATAAATTCATCCTTACAATGTCAAGCTTTTACATACTGCTTCTAATACCTTGACTTCATTAGCTTTTTTTCTTGTATTATGGATTGCAAGGATTTGATGGAATTGTACACTAGTGAATACATCCAATCAGAGCCCTCGACAGAAAGATTGTTTACATTATGGCTTATTGTTTACAGACTTTCTGTTGTGGTCTCTGATTGGCTGTATTGGGTAGGGTATAATCCAATCAAATCCCTGCAATCGAAAACTTCCATGATGCAAGAAAAGGTTGAATAATAACAGTTCGTAATATTTTTATTATCGTTAATATTCATTATGAAAATGTGATTGATTTGGCTATTTGTCCAATAAATTCATATCATCGTTATTGCAGTCTGTCCATTTGATCAGGCATGTTTAATTCTTGTAAAAAATATATATATTTCGCCAGATGTGTTACTCTATAAAAGTATTAACTGTAGAATTATCATTTAGTATTAAATATATATAAATCAAAACATATATAGAAACAAATAACATATATTCAAAATTTGAATGAAAATCAACCTCGGCTATCGCTTTAATTCATATGTGTGAATTTTCTATATGGATATATATGTGTTCATTTTATATGCAACTCTCTGCTTGCTAGAAAAATATTAGTCTCTGTCATCCAGAGTTCTCCAGTCTTTCATTGAGCTGTGTGTAGACAAAGTGAGACTGGATGATATGCGCTAGGAAATATCAACTGATAAATTAACTTTAGATTAGGAATAAACTAGAGTAACCATGTCATCCTTGAGTTTTGAAAATGTGCTGCTTATACTTTTACTATTTTGAAAAATATCATCAGCTGTTAAAATGTTCGAGTGAGTGTGTTTGTTTGTTTGTGTAAATTGAGTTGACATCTTCAAATTCAAAATAGAATAAAGGTGCGGGCACACAAACTGTCTTGATCGTCGAGTCTTGTCACGAATTTCATAAATCTTCAGTCGGTTGTTTTGCACTATGTCAATAATCACATGCGAATCATGCAATTGTAAGGAAAATGGATCTGATTGGACGATGACGCTTTGTCTTGCATACGATAAAGCAATCAGCGACAAATATCAAACTTATAACTCCTTTTTGCAATAGCAACGCGATAATCTTGTCATGGAAACGCAGGCATATGTGAGATTTTACTCAAGAGTTGAGTTAGCGACAAAAATTGGCGACAAAGGCTGTTTGTGTGCCGGCACCATAATTAAACCATTTCGATTACAATATTTTTGTTATATCTAAATGTTTATTCTTTTCAAAACCAATACATACTATCAAATTAAGATAAGACTACTAACTCTCTTTTTATAGTATTTCATTAGATGACCAAAATATTTATGTAGGACCAAAATTTTTATGTTGTAATATTTATGTTGTAATCTGAACTAACAAATGGTATAGTAGAGCAAAGTTATTTATACACATCCAGTTCTGATTCTAACCATAAACACGACCAGTCTACTATATTCTTGGGTAGGTTAGGTAGTAAACACAATGAAAGTTTAGTCTATATAGTTTCTATTACAAGAAATATTGAAATGCGATCTTCAGACAACTGACCTATTTCAGCCTGCATCTCTACTGAAGTTGTACAAGTAGAGATTGTTAGACAACTGACCTATTTCAGCCTGCATCTCTACTGAAGTTGTACAAGTAGAGATCGTTAGACAACTGACCTATTTCAGCCTGCATCTCTACTGAAATTGTACGAGTAGAGATCGTTAGACAACTGACCTATTTCAGCCTGCATCTCTACTGAAATTGTACGAGTAGAGATCGTTAGACAACTGACCTATTTCAGCCTGCATCTCTACTGAAGTTAGACAAGTAGAACTTATTCTCATGTCTACATTTCGAGACAAGTTCGGAACGTTTGTATTAATCATTATACCTAAGAATAAAATGGACTGGACCCTGAATGTGCATGAATATCTTTGCGTCTGTAGCGTCTGTAGCGTCTGAATTTGGCATGAATGAATTTTTCTTTGTAAATAAGGATATGACTTTCTCAATTTATTTTAGTTTTTTTTTGTATCATTATGAAATCCAATATCGACAATGAAAAATACTGGAGATAATATATCATCCCTAATTCAGAAAATCAACTCTTCCGAAAATATAGAATAATTGAATTATGTTGATTGGAATAATGTGATTTGGAAGAGTTCAATTTTATAAGAAAAGGTGCAAATTAAAGAGTTTGTGTGTTTGGTTGTCTGTAATTAGGGTTATTTGGTTGGAGTTCAAAAGAGGGTGAAAAGAAACACTTCAATAATTGCATGAAGGGTTTAATAAAGGGTGTGAAATATGCACATGAAGAAGAGTTCAATAAAAGATTAAGGGGTGTGCATGTTGTTCCTTGAGGGTTTAGAGGTTATAAAATGCATGTTGAAAGATTACAATTAAGGGTTATGGTGCTAGAATAAGAAAAAAGTTTAATAAGGAGGGTATGTGGTATAGTTTTTGCAGGAATTTAAATAAGTGGAAGAGTGCATTATAGAGTAAGGGGGATACAAAGTGCATGTGCGGGATGGAGAGTCCAACGATATTTCCAGTTTTGTTTATGAATGTACTTAAATTAAATAGCTTTAACATACGATTAAAGTGTGACAGAGATTTAAAGTGCATGTGCATTTAGAGTTCAAGTTAAAGATGGGTTCCCTTATTTTCATTTATGAAAATGAAAATGCTAATACTTATATGAATAGAAAGTAGAGGTGTTCTAATGAAAATTACAAGTAGAATTCCAATGAGTGACCGATCCAGAAAGGTCAAAAAGTCTTTTTTTGTTTATCCAGACTGTACAAACATGGACATTTATGATTGATTAAAACTTTTAATTATATGCAATAAGAATATAATGATGTGAATATGAATACATGATATTTCATTAGAAACACCAATTAATCAAATAGTTTGCTTAATTTGACACTAAAAATAAGGAAACCCATCTTTAATGAACATACTTAAATTACATATATAATTATCCTATTCATATCATGATTTGTTTATATTTCATTGTTTATTATTGTCCATATCAAATTTATTTCCGCTTTTTATTACATCAATACTTTTGTATTTTACATGTATAACTTGTTGTCAAGGGAATTATGTTTACCAGTCTATTGGCAGCGTTGTCAATGGTTACAGACTTTCATATAATCTGTTCAAATAATAGTATTTATTGCATCATAGTTACAGAGCCAATGATTGTTCTATATACAGGCATCTCAGAATTTCTCCATTTAATGGAGCAGAAAAGTAGGATGTAAAACTCCATTCATTTCATATTTAGTGAAATTCCTAAATTTTTCTGGCGAGTTTTTTTATTTTCAAATAAAACCACAAAATTTTAGTTTTAGAGATGTGAAGATATCTATTGAGGAAATGGCTTCCAAAGCATCTTAAAATGGTAAAATCTTCCCTCTGTACCCCACATGAGAGCTTCTGGCCTCCTTGACTCTCAGCTGTTATTTTCCATTTCCTCTTGTATTTTTGTTCCTTACTGAGATCCCTGTATATATTCAACCATATCTGATATTATAATGTCCCAATAAACACTGAAGGTAAGTTAATCACAGAAAGGAAAGTTCATATATA